CCTTGCCTGGCTGCCAGCCTGGGGTGGCCGTGACCCACTTAGGAGAGACACAGCCAGCAGCCCTGTCCCCGCCGGGCCCTCCCGTTCCAGGGGCAGGAACAGGGCCAGGGAAGGGGGGGCCAGCCTGGCCGTGCCCCAAAACGGCCTCGGGGTGGGGAAAACCCCTGGGAATGGGGCTGGGCATGGCCTGAGCCCATCCTGGGGCTCCTCCTGCTCCTGAGAGCTGTTCCTGGGGCTGTTCCTGCTCCTGGGGCTGCTCTGAGGCTGTTCCTGAGGCTGTCCCTGATCCTGAACCTGTCCTGGGGCTCTTCTGGGGCTGTTCCCAAGGATGTCCCTGCTCCTGGGGCTGTTCTGGGGGCTGTTCCTGCTCCTGAACCTTTCCTGGGGCTGTTCCCAAGGATGTCCCTGCTCCTGGGGCTGTTCTTGAGGCTGTCCCTGCTTCTGGGGCTGTTCCCGAGGATGTCCCTGCTCCTGGGGCTGTCCCTGATCCTGAAACTGTCCTGGGGCTGTTCCTGTCCCTGAGCCCATCCTGGGGGCTGTTCCTGAGGCTGTCCCTGTTCCCAAATCTGTCCTAGGGCTGTTCCTGAGGATGTCCCTGCTCCTGGGGCTGACCCTCGTGTTCCCAAGGCTCTTCCCGAGGCTGTTCCTGGGGCTGTCCCTGATCCCCAGGCTGTCCCTGTCCCTGGGATGTCCCAGCCATGCCCGTGCCCAGCCCCAGTGCCCTCCAGTCCATCACTGTTTAACCAGGGCACATTCCCAGGCTCCAGCTGCTTCCCGGTGGGAATGCACTCATTAACAGCAATGAGTTAATTGGTAATTTTTACCCTCACGCCCCCATGGCTGGGTTAACCCTTCCCTCCTGTGTCCCCCTGGCACTGGGGCTTGCACACCAGAATTCCTGAAGGGGATTTTGCTCGGTGTTCCTGTGGTTTGGGAGGTGCATCTGGGGCTGAGTCTCATCCTGAAACAATTCCTCCTGGGAAGCTCCTCCTGTCCCTGTGTGCCTGGAACTGCTCTGAGCAGGTGTCCCTGTGCTGGGGGGGTGGGGAAGGAGCCCCCGGGATTTGCTGGGTGGCAGAAACAGCCGAGCTGGGATGAGGGCAAGGATCCTGAATCCTTCAAGCTGGGAAAGTCCAGCATTAACCCAGCACTGCCTCACCAGCAACCCATGGGCTTTTAACCCTTCTGGGGACGGTGACTCCCTTTTCTGAAGGAATTCTCCCAAATTCCCAATCCGAACCTGCCCCCAGGCCATTTCCTGGTCCCAGCCCTTCTTCCCTGGGAGAAGCTGCTGCAGCAGGGCCGAGCTCTGAGCTGTCCCATCCCCCTGCAGATCAAGTACCACGAGGAGTTCGAGCGGAGCCGGATGGGCCCCAGCCCCAGCGAGGGCTCGGAGCCGGAGCGCCGGAATTCCCAGGAGAGCGGCGGCTACCGGAGAGCAGAGCAGCAGCAGCAGCAGCACCACGGCCAGCCCGGAGCCACAGGTGGGTGGGGACAGCCCCGGGGCTCCTCTGCATCCCCCACATCCCAAAATCCCAGTGCAGGATCTGCCCAAATCCCAGTGTAGGATATGCCCAAATCCCAGTGCAGGATCTGCCCAAATCCCAGTGCAGGATCTGCCCAAATCCCAGTGCAGGATCCAGCCACATCCCAGTGCAGGATCCACCCGCATCCCAGTTCATGGATCCACTCATCCCATTGAAGGATCCACTCAAATCCCAGTGCAGGATCTGCCCAAATCCCAGTTCATGGATCTACTCACATCCCAGTGCAGGATCTACTCACATCCCAGTTAATGGATCCAGCATTCCTTCCCCATCCCAGTTCACTCCCCATTCCCTCCCCATCCCAGTTCACTCCCCATTCCCTCCCCATCCCAGTTCACTCCCCTTTCCCTCCCCAGTTTACCAGCAGCAGCAGCAGCCGCCTCCATCCCAGTCCTACGGCTACAAGGAGCCAGCCCCGGCCTCCTCACAGCGCAACGCCCCGGCTGGAGGGGGGGTGAGTCCAGCCCAGCCCCCCATTCCCACCCCGGGGGTCCCCATGCTCCCTCAGCCCCCCATTCTCACCCCGGGGGTCCCTGTGCTCCCTCAGCCCCAGGAGAAGCCGTTTTGGGGGGTTGGATGCTCGGTTTGGGCAGTGAGAAACACCTGGATCCAGCTCCCTGCGGCGGGGCTGTGACCCCTCTGTCTCCAGGGAGGGGCTATGCCATGATCCTCATGTCCCCTGTGGCCATGCCATGCCCCTCGTGTCCCCTGGGGGTGTGACAATGACCCCGTGTGCCCTGGGGCTGTGACAATGTCCCCTGGAGTTGTGACAGTGACTCACCCCAGTGTCCCCTGGGGCTGTGACAATGTCATCTCAGGCTGTGACAATGCCCCCTGGGGCTGTGACAGTGACCCACCCCCGCGTCCCCTGGGGCTGTTCCACGTCCCCTGGGGCTGTTCCACGTCCCCTGGGGCTGTTCCATGTCCCCTCGGGCTGTGACAATGTCCCCGTGTCCCCACAGAAGCGTTTCCGTGCCGTCTATGACTACAACGCGGCGGACGAGGACGAGGTGTCCTTCCAGGACGGGGACACCATCATCAACGTGCAGCAGATCGATGATGGCTGGATGTACGGCACGGTGGAGCGCACGGGGGACACGGGCATGCTCCCTGCCAACTACGTGGAGGCCATCTGAGCCCGGGGACACGGCCCTGCCCCGTGTCCCCTCCCCGTGTGTGCGTCTCTTGTCCCCTCCCCGCCCTCGGAGCCGTGTCCCCGTGTCCCCTCTGGGTGTGGTGTCTCTCGCCACTTCTGCTCCGTGCTGGCCCCGTGGGGGCTGTGGGGCAGTGTGAGGTGGGGATCAAAGTCCCAGAGCGTTTCTGCTCCTGTCCCTGCTGTCCCTCCTGTCCCTCCTGTCCTGCCCTCCCGGCGGGAGAAGCCTCCAGAGCCACCGGGGTGTCAGGAAAGGGAGGGAGAGGCCAAGTCAGGACCAAATTCCTGCTGTGGGGTGGGAGAGGCGAGGGGGGCTCAGCCAGGGGTGCCCTGGCCTCAGGGTGGGCTGGCAGCTCCCCCTGCTCAGCTCATCCTGCTCCTGGCTGCCCTGTGCTGCTTCCCCTCAATCCTCGCTCCCTTCAGTGCCCAGAGCAGGAAAGTTTTCAGCTCAAATCTCCAACAAAACCTCTCTGCTTGGAGTTCCGAGCTCTGGGCAGCCCTGCAGGCGGCTCTGGCTGCCTCTGCCTCAGGCTGGGCTGGGATGAGCCCCCCTGGAGCTGGGATGAACCCCCCAAATTGGGATGAATCCTCCTGGACTAGGTTGAGCCCCACAGGCTGGGGTGAGCCCCCCAGATTGGGATGAGCCCCCTGGTGCAGGGATGAATCCCCCTGGACTGGGATGAGCCCCCCAAATTGGGATGAATCCTCCTGGACTGGGATGAGCCCCCTGGACTGGGATGAGCCCCCCAGAGCTCCAGCTTGCTCTGGGGGTCCCCTGGGGAGCCTTTACCCCTACTCAGAATTTTCCTGCTTTTCTCCTGCTGCTGCTGAGTGCTGCCACCCCTCTGGGACCATCCCGGGTCACTGTCCCCTGGGTGGTGTGACACCCCGAGCCACCCCACACCTCTCATTCCCAGCTCTGATGGCAGCTTTTTGGGACCACTTTGGGATCGTGTCATGGACCAAAGCATCCCTGTCCCCTTCTCCTCCGGGCTCAGGAGATCCTGGGGAGGGTCAGGGTGGGTAAAACTGGAAATGAACAGAGAGGGAGGAGTGGGAACCTCTGTAGGGGACCTGGGGACAGCAGGAGTGTCTCTGTGCCAGGACCTGGGGACAGCAGGAGTGTCCCCATGCTGGCTCCACTGTTATTCCCACAGGAAAATCGGGAATAAGGGACCAAAGTGGCCAAATGAGACATTCCTTGGTGCTGCTGGGGACACCTCCCTCAGGAGCTGGGACTGGGGGCAGAAACCCTCCAGGAAAAGGGAATTCTGGCTGCAGTGGGACGGGGACAGGGATCTGGGGTGACAGCAGGGCAGGAGCAGCCAGGACAGGCTGCCCGGGGTGGGAATCCTGGCTGGTGCTAAAACAGGGAGCACAAGGGCAGGGGGAGGCTCCTCTCCCTGCTAAATCCTCTTCTTAATCACGTTCTTGTCTGGGAATTGGGGGGGCGGGGGAGCATCAATGTGAATAAACCCTTTTTTAATGGACCAAATAACACAGGAAATTCCCTTTTGGGATACAGATCTTTTTTTAATCCTCCCTCAAAACTGTTGTCCCTAAATTCTCCTCTCCCATGCCCCTTTCACCCCCACCATGGGAAACAAACCTCTTACTGCTTGATTTCTGCCTTTTCTCTCAACTTTATGCACTTTTTTGCCTTTTTTTTTCATAGCTGAAAAGCACCTAAACCTGTATTTAAAATAAATAAATAAATAAAAGAGTAAAAAAAAAATCACAAGGAAGAAGAACAATTAAAAAGCTGAATAATTGCTTCTCATCACGTGTAAAATAGACCTCATCCATCCCAGCTTCCCTGGTTGTGTCTCAGTGCTGAGCTTAGAACGTGTTTTCCTCGGGATCCGTCGCTTAATTGGGGTTTTGTCCTTGTGTCCTTCCTGGGTTGAGCACCCACCAGTAAAAAAAAAAAAAATTTTAAAAAGTTATTTGGCCTTTTTATCCAAAAAAAAATAAAACCCACGGAATGGAACAACCCGACCAATTCTCTTGCCGGTTTACTCGGATTGAAAATAAAAGTTTAATTTTTACCTGCTGATTGTGCTGGCTCTGATTGTGGCCGCTTTTCCGGCCGTTTTTCCTGCTTGGCTGGGACAAGGGGAGGCTTCCAGAGCTGCGGTTTTCATCTCCCCCGATCCCTGGGGATCCTCCTGGGCTGCTCATCCCCTGCCTTTGGAAAGCCCAGGGAGGTGTTTTGTGTTTTGGAGCCCCGCCTCAGCCGAGGGCTTTCCCTGGAGCCCTGGGAATGCAGGTGGCATTTCCAGCGGGGTTTAATAAACATCTGGCGGCTGTGTAGGGACCGGTGTTGTTTATCAGCAGTAAAAACAGCGAGGAAAACAAAGCGGCGCTGCCAGGGAAGCGAAGCGCGGTGCTGGGGCACCCCAGGAGCACCAGCCGAGGTGACTTCAGGGTGGGGGCCGCGCTCATTTTCTCATTTTCCTTCTTTTCCTCAAAGAATGGGTCCGTTTCCAGCTGCGGACGGGGTGGGGGCACATCCCCGTGGGCTCCCCCCGAAGTGGGGAGCGCTTTGGGAAGGATGGAGCAGGGACAGAACAACCCCCGCGGGGACAGACGGCCCCGGGCGCCAGGGCTGGGCTGAGCCCGGCTGCCCGCCGGGGTTTATCCCTTTATCTCCCGCAGGAAAGCGGCTCCATCAGCTCCGGCATCGGCTCTGCATCCTGAGCGGAGCGGGGAGGGGAGGACGCAGGGGCGGCTCTGCCCAGCAGCCCTGCCCGGAGCCCCGCAGCCCCGGCCCCGCCGCCTCCTCCCTCCCTCACCATGCTGGACATTTTCATCCTGATGTTTTTCGCCATCATCGGCCTGGTGGTCCTGTCCTACATCATTTACATGCTCTAAAGAGCCGCCGCCGCCGAAGATGCGGCTCAGCAGCGGCCTCGCCAGCCGAGCGGCGGCCAGGTGAGCTCCGAGCCCCTCCAGGTGCGAGTTCCAGGGGAGGATTGTGCCGGGAGGGGGGACAGGGGGCAGTTTGGGGGTCGGTGCTGTTGGATTTGGCCGCCTGGGCTGGAAGGGGGCCCGGGGGTGATTTTCCAGCCCAGGCCGCTCAGCCCCGGGCGCTGCGCAGCTGCTGCCGGGTTCTCCCTGCCGGGTTCTCCATCAGCCCGCTTGGGAAAGGCGCTCCTGCAGCACGGCCCGGTGGCTTTTGTTCCCGAGCGGGGGAGAAATGGAGCAGCTCCGGGAGAAGCCGGGCGGGATCCCGGCTGCGTCATCCTAAGGAGCCAAAGGAGGCTCCCGGGGCCGGGGGCGGCTGCTCCCGCACGGAGCTGCTCCATCCATCCCCTGTTCTCTCACACGGAGCTGCTCCATCCCCTGTTCTCTCACACGGAGCTGCTCCATCCATCCCCTGTTCTCTCACACGGAGCTGCTCCATCCCCTCTTCTCTCACACGGAGCTGTTCCATCCATCCCCTGTTCTCTCACACGGAGCTGCTCCATCCCCTCTTCTCCCGCAGCTCCGGGCCCGGCTCACACCGGCCTCTCCTTTCTCCTTCTCTCCGCAGCCTCCGCCCGGTGCGCGTCCCTCGGAGCCTTCTGGAACAGCGTTAACCTCTGCGAGCCCGGCGCGGAGCACGGAGCGGTCACGGAGCCGGGGACGGGAATGGGGGGACACGGGAGGGGGCTCCGAGGGGCTGTCCCGCTGCCGGGACCCGGCTAATCCCCCTGTCAGGACCTGTGTCCTTCCCCCTGTCAGGACCCGTGTCCTTCCCGCTGCCGGGACCTGGGATGCTCCCGGTGACGCACGCGGTGTCCCCAGGGGCATGAGAAGGGTCCTGTCCCCTCCTTGTGTCGTGTCCCCTCGGCCCGAGGCGCTCATCTGGGCTTAATTTTAGGAACTGGCTTCTATTTTTGATGAGCGATGTTCAGGGAGTGGAATAAAGAGGAATGACACAGGAGAGGGAAGATGGCTCTGGTGTCACTGCAGGGATGGGGGTGGGGGACACGCGGCTCCAGGGACAAACCCCGGCAGTGCAGAGGGATCCAGGGATTCCCGGGAATGCCAGAGATCGGAAATCCAGCCTGAGGCACCTCTGTGTGCCCCAGCACGAGCAGCTGTCCCTGGGGAGGGGTCCCCACCAGCGTGTCCCCTCCCTGGGTGTCCCCACCCCTCACTCGGGTCCCTCTCTGGTGTTTGGGGAAGCTCCAGGAGGCCTTGGATAGGAAAAGGAACGCTTTTAACACAATGGAAATTTCTGTGGGATGGAAAGAACATTTCAGAGCTTCATTTTCCCCCCGCTTGGAGATGCCTGGGGAGGTGTTTGGGGCATCAGGAGGATTTTTCCTGTCCTTTTTTGAAGCCCTGCATCCATCCCTGCCCTCCCACTGCCACTCATGGGCAAAGACTGAAAGTTTCACCCTCTTAGGAGGCAAAATTTTCACATTCCTGGTGTCTCACAGAGTTTTGTATTTTTTTTTTTTTTAAGCAATAAACACCTGAAATATCCATAATGGGGAAAACTTTGTGCCCCTTCAGCTATGCCTGGAAGCACCACACAAGCGTGTGAGAGAAGGGGATCCAGGGGGAGCAGGGGCCCAGGAAATGTTGGAATGGGCTGCTGTGACTTTCAGGAGGGGGGAAAAAAGAGAGATTTCAGAGCCTGGGAATGCTGGATGTGGTCAGTGCTGCCAGCGACTCTGCAATTTCCTGTCAGTAAAACTTCCCGAGAGAAACTCCAGGCTGGGGATTTCACCTCGGGGCGTTCCTGGAGCCGCCCAGGGCGATCCCTCCCGCTGAGCCCCCGAGGTGAGGAAACGCTGCTCCCTCTCTCCAGCACCAAATATAGCCGGGAATCAGGAGCCTGAAATATTCCGGGAGGAATTTCTGCAGGCACAAGTCGTGTTCTCAATAACCTCCCCTCCCTCAGGCCGTGTGTGGAGCCGACATCTGCAGGGATGAGGGCAGAGTGAGTAAAGAGGAATGCGTGGAATGGAAACTCAGCTGAGTGTGAAACCAGGAACGATCCTTTCCTCTGGCTCCCAGGCCTCACAGAGCTGCCAGCTCTGCAGAGAAATCCCTTCCTGCAGGCCCCAGCCCCGTGCTGGAAGGTGGGGAGGGGTGGGAAAAGGGAAGCAGGGCAGGAGAGGGGTTTGCAGGCAGCCAGAGGGGCACAGAGGGCAGGGACAGTGCCCGTCCTCACCTCCGGCTGCAGCCAGGATCCAGCCCTGCCACCCTGGCGTGGGGGATTTGCTCCTGGGCCTGGCTTTTACCCACTCTCCACTGCAGCTGTTAAAATTTGGCAGCAAAAGGAAAAAAATCACTTTTTCTCAAGTCCCCAGCTGGTCTGGAGCTGGACCATGTCAGTGTTTGAGCTGGAAAAGGAGGGAGCAGAGCTGGTGGCATTTCCCAGCTCACCCCAAACTGGGCAGGGAAGCGGGATCGGCTTCATTCCTTTGGGAGGAAAGTCCTGTTTGGTGGAAATGTGGCACGAATCTGCCACCAGGGATGTCCCATCCCTGAAGTGTCCCAGGCCAGCCTGGACAGGGCTTGGAGCACCCAGGGACAGTGGGGTGGCAGGGGTGGCATTGGATGGGCTTTAATGTCCCTTCCAAGGCAGCCCAAGCACTCCCTGAGGCGCTGGGAGTGCCAGAGCCGAGCAGTTAATGACAATTAATAAAGCCATCAATAATTCACCAGGAGCAGCGCCGGGCTGACATTCCAGCCCCGCCGGCTGCTCCAGGGAATCAAAGAGCTCCCTTTTCCCTTGGCTGAGCTCTCATAAAGGCTCCCCTTGTGCCCGGCTGGAATTTCTGGCTGCTCCCGGCCGGGAATGAGCCGGGACACGGCGGGACGGGGACACACAAAGGGCCGGGCTCCGCTCCCTTCTCCTGCTCGGGATTATCGATCAGGAGCAGCTCCTGAGGATAAAGGGACAGACAAGGACCTGGGCTGGGGATTCCTGGTGGCGTTTTCCCGTCGCTGTTCTCACATCGAGGCTGTTTTCTCCTCAAATTTCGGGTTCGCTCCGGACACGTTCGGTTCCCGGAGTGGAAAGAAGAACATGGAATTTCTCTCCCTTCAGAAATCACGCGTTGCAGCGCCCTTAAAACGCCACCTTCGAGCAGCCAGGGGGGAAAAAGGGGATGTTCCCAGCGTTTTCCAGCAGCTGCCGCGCTCAGGAAAGGTTTCACCTCTGCCATCTACCGGCACCACCGCCAGCGGATGTCCCGGAGGCAGATCCTGCCTGGAATTGTGGATTCCACAAACGCCGCCAGGATTTTGGGCGCACAAACTTTCCCGAGCTGCTCCCAGGTTGCGGCTGATGGGAGCAGGTGGAGGCAGCTGAGATAAATCGGTCCCGCTGCAGCTGTTCCCAAAATTCCCGAGCTAAATGGGGGAAAAGTTGGTGCTGAGGGGAGGTTTGGGAAGGGAATATTCGGGTGGGGGAAGCGGCTCTTCAGGAACCTGGAGGTTGCAAACAGCACAGAGAGTGTGAGTGCCTTTTATTGCCACCACAGGGTTGGTCTGGAAGGCAACAGAGCAGAAAGTCAACTCTGAGCAGCAAACATTTATCCATTTAAATATTTAAATTTATCCATTTAATGAACCAGTGTTCTAATTTAATGTGTTTAATGGGTGTCTTCAACTTGGCTAAATCCTAAAACACTTCAACAGTTGCTACCTGGGGCAGGGGGAGAGATCTGAAGTTTCTTTTGCTTTATAAAACCTGGAGATTGAGGGAGAAATGCCTTGGTTGATCAAAGCACTGGAATTGCTTTCAGAAATCACCTTTCCCTAAAGCTGAATGTACAAACTGTGGAGCATTTCTGTCACAGAGCCTGAGTTAGAGACCTTGGCAAGCTGGAAAAATGCAGCTCCTCAAATCTCATCCCTCCCTTTCTCCTCAGATTCCCAAGAGAAAACAAATTTAAGAGCTCAGAATGTTTTGGGTTCTGGGCTAAGACAACACGAGCTTCAGTTGGTGTCTGCACACCAGCTATGGAAACCATGTCATTTTTATTGTGTGTGCAAACATGCACAGTGGGAAAAGAATGCAGTTTGTGTTCCCAGCCCTCTTCCCTGGAGGAGCAGAGCACATGGAATGGAATTCCACTCCCCAAGCCCTCCATGAGCTCACTCAGCTGGCCTGGCAGGGATGGGCCCAACTTCTGCCACCCCAGCTCTTACTGGGATGCAAATTTCAGAAATAATCTGAGACTTCTTTGTAAAAGTTCAAAGGAAAAGAAAGAGGAATCCAGCAGGGACAGGGAGGGCTCTGTGGAACTCAGGAGGTGCTGCTGGTGCTGCCCATGGCCATGTAGAGGATTTCCTTGTGGAAGTTGGCCTGTGCATTCATCAGGTGGAACAGGTTCAGGAAGCTGCTGTCCTCCTCATCCCTCTCCCCTGGCAGGGCACAAAAAAGGAGTGAAATGAAGGAATTCACCCAGCTAAGCTCAGGAGGTGAATCCCCCTGAGGCAGAGCTCTGAGCAGAGGGAGGCAGCAGCCTGAGCTTTGTGCTGGGGTTTATCCTCAGCCTCTGCCCCATGGCAGGGGTGGCACTGGATGAACTTCAAGGTCCCTTCCCACCCAAACCATTCTGAAATTCTGGAAATCTGTGATTTTATGTTCTCAGACCCCTGAGGCTCTGCAGGACTGCCCTGCCTGGGGAGGGAGGGAAGGCCAGGCTGTTCTGGATGCCAAGGCTGGCTCCAGGAGCTGGCCCAGGCCCCCAGACCCAGCCTTACCAGCCAGCACTGCCTGCAGCATGTCCATGAGCATGCGGGCAAAGGAGTTCTCCAGGCACTGCAGGAAGTTGTTTCTCTCCCAGGGAGTGCTGAAAACCTTGCAGACCTTCTGCATCATCTTCACTGCCCAGTCCATGCAGTACAGGTCCTTCTCACACACCTGGAGGGCAGAGGAAGGATTTAAAGCAGTTTTTATGACGCAAGATCAAATCTTAGCGTTTGCTCTTGGTTCTGGATCTGTTGTGCCAAGGCCTGGAAGACCAGGGGCTGTGATGAGGACACAGAGGTTGTTCTTGCTGGCACAAAGGGAATTCTGAACATGTGGAAACCCTCCCTGTGGATCCCCCTGATGGGGAGACCCCTAAAAAGTTCTGTGCCAGGATTGAGAGATGAACGGGACTTTTGGGTTTTTTTTGGTTTTCAGGTTGCTGTTTGTTTTTCTCTAATCAAGAGTTCAGCACTCTGTCTACATCTCACAGTACAAAGAGAAGGCACCAAAGGTCACCAGACACACAGGTTCAAGGTCTTTTAAAGCTGTTTTGTCCAATTAACTCTTAGAACATATTTTATTTCTACCAATAATTATTTGTCTGCATTGCAGCTCTTTCAGTGCCACCAACACTGCAGAAAATGGAGCAGATTAAGAACAAGAAGGAGATCAGACAAGGCCCAAAATCCTCCACCTTGTCTTCTATCCACCTCCATACTAAAACCCCAAAACTCTGAGTTTTTCACCCTGTGATAAACTACCCCACTATCTATTTCACACATGGTAGATTCCAATTCATCCCAAAGTCTTGGAAGCTTTCTCCATGGATGAAGGTTAAAAGCAGTGTTCCCCTGGGGGTCAGGACTTCTCAGGACAGGCAGAGAAATACTCCCTGTGCCCTGGGCTCCAACATGACCCTTTTGCTGGTGGTGCTTCTCCTCAGGGATGTGCAGGACAGGGAGCAGAGAGGTGGAAGAGCTCCCAGCTCCTGGCTGGATTTATTCCTGGCGTGTGGGGAAAAACTTTCCCAGCCTGAGGCAGCAAATGTGGGGCAAAGAGGCTGAGCTGTACTCACCAGAACCATGAAGACCATGAGCCTGGCCAGCTCCACAGCTCTGCCATTGACAGCTTTGCTGGCCAGGAAGGTGAAGCAGATGCTGTTCCCACTCAGGAGCAGCAGCCGAGCGTTGTTCTCCATCAGCCACTCCTGGGGAACCACTTCAGAACGGGGAGAGAGGATTTCAGTCACCTCTCGTGGGAAATGGATTTATAGAAAACTCTCAGAACTTGACAGAAGGTTTGCATAGTGTGTGTTTGTACGTAAACTTTGAGATAAGAAATGTTAACTTAGGGCAGGGAAGCACCCTTATTCTATAGAATTATTCTATGGAATAATATATTCTATAGAATATAATATTCTATATTCTATATTCTATAGAATGAGACAGGCGTTGTTGAGAGAGATATTGAACTAGAAATAAGTTTTAAGGGATGGTCTTATAAATAAAACTAAATATTTTAGAGAAATAGAACTATGAAAGATGTATTGTACCAAGACCTACAAGGAGTAATTTTAGATAATTAGCTTTAAGACATTTACAACATAGTGTGACTAAAGCTGATAGGCCAAAAACACTTATAGTGTATTGTAATTGAGAAATAGTTGGCTTCTGATTGTGATAACATGAATTATAACATCTGTATTGTCTCACCCTTCTCATGAAAGCAAAAATAGAATAAAAAGGTTTTAAAACACCTCTCAGTTGCCCCATCTCTGGGTCAGAAAAGGGTATAGTCCAACAACCTCTGGGCAGAAAGGGAGCAGTGAAATTGCACCAATAATCCCTACCAGTGATGGTTGGAGCTCTCCACACCAACTCTGGGACACAACCTCAGCCAGAGCTCTCAGTGCAGCTGGTAAAAATGCTCAGGAGAATTTTGCCTGAGCAAATTCCACGTTTGGACAATGTTTCCTGAATAATTCAAGGCAAGACTTGAGTTTTAAAGGTCTGCATGGGTTCTTAAAAGATTTCTCCATGGGGAAAGACAGCCTGGATGTGTAAAACAAACTGGGTTTGTCTCGTCCTAGCCTGACTTCCAGTGTGATGGCTTTTCACCTAAGCCACAGCTACTGAGAGGAATTTTGCAGCACACAGCTGGGTTTGGAGGATGTGAGGATCCATAATCCCAGGGATTAATGATAAAGGCAAAAACACACCTGACAGCTCATCCACAAGACTGATAACATCATCTGCTGTCCATTCTCTAGCTTCTGTACCATACAGCAGCTTAATTGCATCAGCTAAACCCTTCAGACTGGTCTCATCTGTTGGTCCTTCTATCATTTTCTGCCAGACCACGTGTCCTGGGTGATATATCAATCACAACTGCTAGTAAGTGACAGTTTTTAAACAAGGAAGGTGCTAAGCTGAGCCTCACAGCAGAGGCAGAGGAGAGGAATTCAGGTGACACCACTGAGGCTTTGTGGTTATTTTCCATCAGTCATTTCAGCAGGGATAGTGAGTCAAACTTTAAGAAACCCAGGTTTAATAATTAAGTGAGAAACATGTTTTGCTGCAGGGAAATGGATGCTTCTTTGAGATGGATTTGAGTTAAGTCTCCCCAAGCAGGGGAGAATAGAAGAACAGAGATGTAGTTTAATTTCTTCACTGAATTGTAACTTACACGTGTGTTTGTGTGTATAATTTATATATTTTCTGTATGTTAGTGATGCCTGGTTGAGCAGAGCAATTCTTTTTCCCAGGCAATGCAATGGCTCCAATGGCTTCAGATGGACAGAGGGCAGGTTCAGATTGGGTCTTGGGAAGGAATTCCTTCTCTTCCTTCCTCCTGGGAGGATCCTGTGAGGGTGGTGAGAGGCTGCAATGGATTTCCCTGCCCCATCCTTGGAAGTGTCCCAGGCCAGGCTGGATGGGGTTTGGAGCACCCCACACTGGTTTGGAACAGTGGGAGGTGTCCCTGCCCATGGCAGGGCTGGCACCGGATGAGCTTTAATGTCCCTTCCACCCACACCCATTCCATGACTCCACGACACCAACACAATCCCATTTTTTGGGCTTTCCTGCCAGAAGATCTCCCCCCGGGGGCACACCCTTTGCTCACCATCGCGGGAGGACACGGGCCCGAAGATGATGTAGAGCAGGCGGGCCTGGTTCACCATGGGCCAGGGCTTGAGGATGCGGGTGAGCCAGAAGGCGGAGTCGCTGCGGCGGCTCCCGGGAGACAGCAGCACCCCCCGGCAGAACAGGCGGATCCGCAGCTCCAGCCTCCGGGCGCTGCCTGCCAAAAGCGGCCGGGCTCAGCAATTCCCCAGCCCGGCTCCCTGCAAAGCACCGCGTCTTCGTAGGGAGGGGAAGGAGGGGGTTTTGTAACGGGTTTAATTCGGGGTTTGTCTCTTGATTCCTGAGTTTTGGTGTTTTCCACTGATTCAGGTCGTGGGATGTGTGGGTGCAGCCTCTGGGGTTTGGCGATGGGAGGAAGGGTGATGTGGAGGGAATGTTCCTCAGAAATTCCTTGTTCTGGGGAATGGGAGAATTTAGAGAAATTTTCGAGAGAAATGGGAGAATTTCTTGAGAGGCGTTTGTCCCATCGGTGCTGGGGTTCAGGAACGTTAAACCTCACTTTTTACTGCTTCATTTTATTCCTAATTTTTATCTCTAATTCCTTTCCCATCGACTTCATTGTTGTAGGGTAGGAAAGACTCAAATCCACAATTGATGTGTAGACACAAGTGATGCTTTGGATTGATAATGGCAGGATTTAAAATCCCTAAAGACCTCTCAAAACAGACAATTTCAGAGACAAAAGCCTTTCTCTCTGCTTTTGAGGAGGTGTGTCCATCAGGTGAAGCCCAAAACTGCTGTAGATGCCCCCAGAACTCCCAGCAGAGCCAGGAGCTGAGCCAAACCACCCTGAATCCCACATTCCTGGCTGGTACTTTTGGGTTTTTGGAGCTGTGCTGGGACTTTTTGGGGTTTGGGGGCTGCTCGGAGTTACCTGGTTTGCTGCTGACAACCGTCTGCACCTTCCGGGCTAAATTGCTGAGCTCCCAGAGGAAGTTGAACACCCGGTGGCACTCGAGCTCATCCCAGCCCGCGGTCAGGATCTGGAGGGGAGGGGAAATGGGCTGAAAATGAGGAGGATGAGGAGAAATTCGGTTCCCAATGCCAACTTTCCAGCAGATAAACACAATTTTATCCTGCAGTCTCTCGGGAGAGGGAGGGAAGGGTCATAGCTGAGTGGAGGTGCTTAAGGACTTGTACTGAAATTGGCCAGAAAATAAACTTTTTAAACATGATTTGAAGCAGTAGAAAGCAGGGATTCATCAGGTGGTGTTTAAGGCCTTGATAGTGAAATTGGCCAGAAAATAAACTTTCTGACATGATTTGAAATATTAGAAAGCAGGGATTTATCAGCCTGATGACTCCCAGAATCAAAAACTGCTGAGAATGTCCCAAAATCTGATTTGTGGCTGTGATGTGGAAGGGATTTGTTATAAAATGTCCCAGCACTAATAATCACCTGCTCTTCTAAGACAGGATTTTAATTTTTATATTTGGTTTACATTCATTTTAAGCTACCACAAACAGAAAGTATTCTGACCTTTGATGTGTGGAGCCATTTCCCTGGAAATTAAAGCATTTCTGCTCTTGACCTGTGAATTTGGAGCTGTGTGATAAAATTCTCCCTTTCTCCCCTGTCTTCTTAGGTAATAAATTGCTAATTTAAAAAACCCAGACTGGCTGGGAGTGAAATCCAGGCCAAGAAATCCTCAGCAGTCAAATCAGCAACTTCCAGCACCAGAAAGAAAACCCAGACAACTGTATGAATAAACACCACCCCAAACCACTCCAAAAAAACCAGTTTATACTTTAAAAAATCTTGCAAAACGCAAGTTAATTTAGACAAATGCCTGAATTTTCTTTTTTTATTCATGCTACTTGCCTTGTGTGCATGGGAATACTGTACCTGTAAGAAGACCCCATAGCACTGCAGCCCCAGGCAGTGCAGGGGACTGGCACAACCATTCAGCTTGAAACAGGAAACCTGCAAGTGCAAACAGCAGTTGTTTGTCCTAATTAGCCAATATTTAATTGCTGTGATTGGAAATTCTCTGTGCTCCTCAATTCAGAGAGGTGAAGAAGGATTCTCTCTTCGTGTGAGTTATGTGGAAATGAGTTGTTGCAACGGGTTATGGCAGCTGCTTTAAGGTTTTGAGTCAAAACTGGGGGTGTAAAGAAGGATTTGGGGAAGAAAACCCCAATTTTCAGGGAGGAAAAAAAATCAAGAGCCAGACGTGGTTAAGGGATTTTTACCTCAGGAAATATCCTGTAAGGATTTTTTAAAGGATTCTTATTGTTCATCAAGGACTTCACCAAGGTGGAATGCCCCACAGTGCACACACACCATCGATGGAGTATAAAATTTATAGACCTTACAAATTAACAGGTTTAACAAGGATGCCCCAATGGGAGGCCTGGGTGAATGGGGTGATATTCCCCCCAGAATGGCCAAATAATCCATGGATATCTCGTGGATAATCCATGGAATTCCCCCCTGGATGGGCCAAATAATCCATGGATATCTCGTGGATAATCCATGGAATTCCCCCCGGATGGGCCAAATAATCCATGGATATCTCGTGGATAATCCATGGAATTCCCCCTGGATGGGCCAAATAATCCATGGATATCTCGTGGATAATCCATGGAATTCCCCCTGGATGGGCCAAATAATCCATGGATATCTCGTGGATAATCCATGGAATTCCCCCTGGATGGGCCAAATAATCCATGGATATCTCGTGGATAATCCATGGAATTCCCCCCTGGATGGGCCAAATCTTTACTTTGCAGGATGTGTTCTAGACAGGACCTTGGTTTTCCAAGATAGTTTAGGGTTTTCCAGCCTTTAGGATGTTTGCTGTTCTGGCCTAACCCAATACCAGCACTAAACTGAGTTATCAGGCTTAAGGAATTACAAGCATGCATGTTAAGAATACTTAAGAGTTCTATAAAGATAATAATAAGAGTTCTATAAAGAATAAAAAGAAAATATTTATTAAAATTATAATAATAATATTAAAATTTAAAATGTGATATAAATATTAATGTACATATAAAAATATAATTAATACAATAGAAATTTAAAAAAATTTTACATTTAAAAGAGCTTTTAAATAACAAGATTTAATTTAAAAATTAATAAAATAAATATTAATATCAATTAATAATAAAAGTTCTATGAAAGGTATATAAAAGAAAAGGCAAAAAAAGGATCATTTTGCCATCAGACTTACCCCTGAGAGCACCTTGTGCACGTACTTGAGCCTGTCCCTGGTGGGCAGCAGCAGGGTGCACCTCTTGAGCAGCAGCCCTGTGCCAGAGGGGGGCAACACACACAGCTCTGGGGGTGCTCACACACCGCTGGAGCATCCTCAGGGAAAAAAAAAATGCAGGCACAGAGAAAAAGCTGCTGCTCTGAGGCTGTAAGAGCCTTTGAGGAGAGATGTGGGACTCCAGGTGGCTCTTCAAAATCTGTTTGTTGTGTATAAGATGTTAAAGCAGCCGTGTGTCGTGGCTGCAGTTATAGACAAATTTTCAGGGAGGAAAAACCTCATTTTCAGGGAGGAAAAGCCCCACTTTTCAGGGAGGAAAAAGCCCAATTTTCAGGGAGAAAATCCCAATTTTTAGGGAGGAAAAAGCCCAATTTTCAGGAAGGAAACCCCAATTTTTAGGGAGGAAAAAGCCCAATTTTCAGGAAGGAAAAGCCCCACTTTTCAGGGAGGAAAAAGCCCAATTTTCAGGGAGGAAGCCCAAATTTTCAGGGAGGAAAAACCCTTATATAACTATATATATATAGATATATAGTTTTATATATATAACTTTATATAAACTTGCCTGTATATAACTATAGGCTACTTATATATATAAGTAGCTGCAGTTATAGGCAAGCCTGAAGACCCTTTAGTTCTGGTTACAACCCATTATATATTTTTCTTTGCTGAGCATCTAAATACATATCAATACCTTTATTATTACCTACAGCCTGTCATAACTACTCTCATTACCATATTATGGTCATTACTGTGCAATCACTAAAAGTTAGTATGTTGCAGTTTAAACTTCAAGTTGTTTTTCAGTTTTCTCGCAGTGGAAAATTCTTAGACCTTTTTTCTACTTGCCACATCAACATGTTTGTTTGCTTGTGGTATTTTCTGCTTTTCCTAAGACCTGCTTCTGCTTGATAAAAACATATTTTTTGGTTTTGGTCAACGTATCCTTTGCTCTACTCATGAAACCTCCTTCCAGCTCAACTTAAGCTTTGCTTTCTTAGTTGTCCAGCAAGACTGGCTTAGCAATTATCAATTTATTGTTCTTCTGTATCAAAACTTGCTTCCATCTCTATTCAATTTTCAGGTTCTACATTCAGAGACCTTTCTGCCATACTGTTAGAACTCTGGGTGCTGAGAATTTTAAACTTTTAAACTTTAAACTGAAAGGCACAGACAAGAGAACACTGCATTTGACCTGAGGCTGTGGAGAAGGTTTCCAGAATTGATTGATAGCACGGGGATTGTGGGGGTGGAGTTGGTTAGAAGTGTGTAACATCACAGGGTGGAAAATTAGAGTTTGGGGTTTTAGAATATAGAAATAAATATGAAGCAAGATGGAGGTTTTAGGGCAGAGACAGGTTGTTCTTCTTCCTTCTTCTTCATGGATTTGGGTGGTGTTTTCGAACTGGACAGAAAAGTCCACATTGCAGACTTTGAGTGATCAGTTACTGGGTTAACAGGGAAAATAATTTAGTTGTCATTTCTTAATTGGATAGTTTAGCCTTAAAATACCTTGTAACAAGAGATAGTTAGATATTTTGTGTCTTGTTAAGGAGAGACTGAAGAACTCACTGCTGTGAGACTGTAACATTGATAATAAACATAAACATTTGAGTCTGAATCAATCCCTACCCCAACAGAGGTACAAAAAGGAAGCAGAGCACCCACACCACACGTATCTGTGAAACTCTTGTCAAACTCTCATCTTTCCCAACAGGAGGTGAAAGGAGCAGGGGTTTGTGTTTCCAGCAGGGGTAGCAGGGCCATCTTTTCCCAAAGGAATATTTTCAGGGAGTTCCCAGCTCCCTGCACACACTCTGAGTTGTTTATGGTGGTGTTTAAAGCCCCTGTTACTCACAGTTGGAGCTGTGTTAAAATTCCTGCCTTGGTTTGGGAATTACAGCTGTTCAAAATGTTGGACAGAAATGTTAACTTGTTGCACCTCAATGCTGGTTTTCCCCTTACATCATCCCCCAGTTTTTTTTCAGGGTAGCCACATGTTCTAAAAAGCAAATATTCTGAAATTCCTTAATGTAAAACATAGCAGAGAGGGAAATTTATTCTCATGTTTGGGATGTCAGAGTCTGGAGCTCATTATCCTGAGGAACAGCTGGTTGTTGAGCAGAATTTCTTCCACACTCCTGACAGAAAGTGGGTTAACAGCTTGCACTCAAAGCCTTTCACCAGAATAAAAAACATATATACTGCTTGTTAATTAATCAAGGCATCCACTGAAAAGCTTGGAGTTTCCCAGGGGAAAGAAACAAAAAAAAAAAAAGAAATTTTTCTCCAGAAAAAAAAAAAAAATCCTATACACACCTCCTTTTTTCCCAAGGTCAGAAAGTACTTAGTGGATTTGCTGTGGTTCTGAAGTGACTCTTGCCTGGCTCAGAGCGTGTCAGCATTCCTGCAGACAGCCATCATTTATTCATCAGCCTCAAATCTACCCCAAAGCTCAGCCAAGCCCATTTTTTATTGACTAGGTCAGGCTTTGGAGAGCACTCCCCGAGGAGCAGCTGTTAGGACAGCTCAGCTCCACACCAGGATGGAGCTACCCATGAGGGGAAAATGGGTGGAGGAAAAAAAAAAGGGTTGAGCAAAAGGTGATTTTTGCCTGCAGGTTATTCCTGTTGCAATGTAAATATTGATTTTGCAGCCAGCCCTGCCAGGAACCTTCCCCTGAGCCTCCCACTGTGACACAGCAAAGGATTTTATTTATTTTATTTTATTTATTTATTTTTTTATTTTATTTTTTAAAATATGTGGTTTGTGTTTTACTCCTACAGCTCCTGCAGGGGTGGGCTCTCACGTACATTTAAATAACAAGGTGCCATTTTGGGTGAGATTACTACAAAACCCAAAGCAATGCTGATTTCTTTTAAAGAATTACAAGGTTTCAGGCCTTGTTTTGAAGAGGAAATGCTCAGATTAATTTTAAAATGTATTTTAAGATACCTCAAAACCTCCATGGTTTGCTTACAATAGGTTTTTATTCTAAATGGTTTGAACAGCTTTCCTTTTCCTTGTGTGATTTAATGTCTTTAATGTATTTAATGTCTTTATTTAATGTCTTTAGTGCCTTTACTTAATGTATTTAACACCTTTATTTAATGGATTTTAACACCTTTATTTAATGTCTTTGGTGCTTTTATTTAATGTATTTAATGCCTCTATTTAACATATTTTAACATCTTTATTTAATGCCTTTGGTGCTTTTATTTAATGTATTTAATGCCTTTATTTAATGGATTTTAACACCTTTATTTAATGTCTTTGGTGCTTTTATTTAATGTATTTAGTGCCTTTATTTAATGGATTCAATGCTTTTATTTAATGTCTTTGGTGCTTTTATTTAATGTATTTAGTGCCTTTATTTAATGGATTCAATGCTTTTATTTAATGTCTTTAATGCCTTTACTTACTGTATTTAATGGCTTTACTTAATGTCTGCAGTTCAACCCCTATTTACAATTCTCCATCTAACCCTGGCATTTATTTCTCTGTCAAATACAGATTTTTCTACCAGACAGGGAACAGTAAAAACTGACCCAATGACGTTTTAATTTCATTTCCTCCTCTCACAGAACGATGTGGAGCAAATCACGCCGTGGAGCTGGTTTAAAAACCAGCAGGGCAGGCGGTGCTGGCCTCCCCGGAGTTAGGCCGGGCTTAAGTTAGGCTTTCCCTCGGCTGCCCGGGGCCTGCGAGCCTCGGTTCCCGCTGCACTTCCAGCGCCGGGCTCCAAAAAAAAAGAGGGAATTTGGAAAAAAACATCCTCCTGCGAGCTGATCCTCTGCCTCTTCCCGGGAAAAAGGACGCCCAGAAGAGGGCGGGACGCGCAGGGTTTTTTCCAAAACTCTGAGGTTTTGGGATGCCCAGAAGAGCAGGACAAGCAGGGTTTTTTCCATAACTCAGAAATTGTGAGACACCCAGAGGAGGCAGGACCACACAGAGTTTTTTTCCATAATTCAGAAATTTTGGGATGCCCAGAAGAGCAGGACAAGCAGGGTTTTTTCCAAAACTCTGAGGTTTTGGGATGCCCAGAAGGGCAGGACAAGCAGGTTCCATAACTCAGAAATTTTGAGACACCCAGAGGAGGCAGGACCACACAGAGTTTTTTTCCATAATTCAGAAATTTTGGGACACCCAGAGAAGGGGAACACACAGAGACTTTTTCCCAAAACTCAGAGATTTTGGGGTTCCCAGAAGAGGCAGGACATGCAGGATTTTTTTCTATAAATCAGAGATTTTGGGATGCCCAGAGGAGGTAGGACACACAGATTTTTTTTTCCCATAAATCAGAAATTTTGGGACACCCAGAGAAGGGGAACACACAGGGACTTTTTCCCAAAACTCAGAGATTTTGGGGTTCCCAGAAGAGGCAGGACACAAAGGGTTTTGTTTTTTTTCCCAAAACTCAGAGATTTTGGGATGCCCAGAAGCGGCAGGACACACAGGATTTTTTTTTTTTTTTTTTTTTTCCATAAATCAGAAATTTTGGGATGCCCAGAAGAGGCAGGACAGGCAGGATTTTTTTCCCTAACTCAGAGGTTTTGGGACACCTGGAGAAGGAGGGACACATGGGGTTTTTTTCCCATAAATCAGAAATTTTGGGATGCCCAGATGAGGGGGGACACACACGGTTTTCCACAAATCAGAAATTTTGGGACACCTAGAGAAGGCAGGACAAGCAGGATATTTTTCCATAAATCAGAAATTTTAGGATGCCCAGAAGAGGCAGGACACACAGTGGTTTTTTGGGTTTTTTTTTCATAACTCAGAAATTTTGGGATGCCCAGAAGAGGTGGAACACACAGTATTTTTTTTCCATAAATCAGAATTTTTGGGACACCTGGAGAAGGCAGTACAAGCAGGTTTTTTGGTTTTTTTTTCCCCATAAATCAGAAATTTCAGCAGAATTCCACAAAATTCCTCGGTACTAGAAGCGACTCTTTAGCCCCTCTATTTTTTTGGCATTCCCCTGTTAACACACATGCCAGGAGACAGATCTGGAGTGAGTTTTGCTCTCACCTAGAGCTCTGTAGTGCTCCAGGATGGAGGCTCCCTCTCTCCTGGCAGGGAGCTCCTGGTGGAAGTCCTGCAGCAGCAGCCGGCGGCTCCCTGATGAGGTGGAGATGTAATTAATCAGGCGGCCGCTGATGGTTTTGGACACCATGCTCAGCATGCTGATGTCCTTCACTGCAAAAGCAAAGCCCAGGACACTCCTAAATCCCCTCTGCAAGGGAAAAATGCTGATCACCAGTCAATGGCTGCTTCTGGCTTCAAAAGAACAAGGCCAAGAAATGAGATTTATAAATAAAACAGAAATTAATTAATGTTGATCTGCTTTGCCAGCGAACTGGAGTAATTAGAAACTGGCAGATCTAAGGAATAATTTTCACATTTGATAGGCAGAAAATAACTTCAAATAGATTGTCAAATATATATTGTTCAAATATCATTGCAATTTTGGTCAGTTGTTTTTCCGTACTTAAAAAGCTGAAAATTCAGAGCTGAAGTCACACAAAATTATTTTAACTACTTAAAAGGGACAAAATTTTAAATAATAACGCTTCGTAAATTTTAAAATAAAAGACATATATGTGGTGATTTTCAGATATTGACGTTTCTGATCAGGTCCTCACCTGAGAGATAATTCAACACCATCTGGAAGATCTCTAAGGGAAGGGTTTGGAAATAGCCCAGCGCTGACAGGGCCGGGGAATCCCTGCCCGGGGTGTGGCCGGGGCGGCGGCGGCTCCGCCTCTGCTTCTGCCTGGGGACCGAGGTGCGGCTGCTCCCGGAGCCCGAGGTCATTGTCCCCGTGTTCCCATAAACCTAACCTGGAGAAAAAAAAAACAAAAAAAATATATATTAAAGTCTGGTTTTCTGAGGAGGAAAAGGCTCCCAGAATGGGGGAGTTACTGCCTTGGAGACAGAGAGTGAAAATCTCGTCTGTGTGTGGGATAAACAGCTTGGATGCTTTCAAAGTAATTTGCGAAATAACTTTTAGTACATAAAGAATAAAATATGTTCTGACTAATTTATAATAATAATAATTTATAATAATATAGAATAAGAATGTTTAAATATATAATTTAATAAATAACAAATATATTTTTGTATAAATAATATAAAACACAATAATATATAATAATATATTGCATAGATACCACAAATGCATAATATCCTAAATAATAATAGGTAGTAAATGTATATTACATTCTATTATAAGTTATATGAAATATAAAATAATTTTTTAGAATAATAATTTAGTGTGTTGAAATGTGTAAATAAGGTCTGGGGGAATGGAGGGCTCAGCTGATTTTGGGGGAGGAAGAGACAATTTCTGAGGGCACAGAAATTGAGGAAAACAGCTCTGGAAGGGAATTCTTGGGGAATTCCATGTGAGGCTACAAGCTACAGTAATTAACAACATCGCTTTCATTTGTCACACTCATTAATCAACAGAACACCAAAATTCCAGGGCTGTTATTGAAAGGACGATCACCGTTCCTTTCGAGTGATAATTACTGATTGTGCAGGAGCAAACCAAAGGTTAAAAGCACCAAAGTGATGCTTCAAACTCTCCTTTTCCTGCACACCCAGTCGGTGCAAGGCTTAATTTAATATAATGTATAAAAATACATAACGTAAAAATAATTATACACATGATATAAAAATAAATGATGCGACGATGCCCCGAGAAAATGTCAGTGCCTCAGGCTTTTCCAAAATCATGAAGGGCTGAAAACGAGCTCGGAAAGGATCAATAAATGAGATTATTTGCTTCACCTTCTGGGTTTTGAGTGTCTAGCCACACTTGACAATATCAGGCAACACTGGGAATTGCTGCGTCTTAAATTTCTGTTCTGAGACTTTTCCCACTGGTCCCTGATTCCAGGAATATCCCTGGATCCTGTCCAAGCTGCAGTGCCACATCCCAGCCACCAGCAGAGAGAACAGACCCCATTGTTCCCGGGATTAAAAATGTACAAAATGACAGACAACAAACTCCAAACATCCTCCCTGTTTATTATCAAACAGCTCCAGCCAGACTCTCTAATATCCCGAGGGGAAATGTCCCTGTGCACAATGGGGGCTCTGTTTGTGCTGAGAAATGGGGGAATTTTGGGAATTTTGGATCTGGGGAGACTGGGAATTGGGCATTTAAGGAATTTTTTATGTCTCTGGGAACGTTTTTAATTTAGCTGTGGGATATTTTTGGCTTGCTGAAGCAGCTGAAAACTTTCACAGGGCTTGGGAGGAAATGTGACTGCTGCTAAAATGAGTGGGTTTAGGATTTTAGGAGGGAAAATTGACAAAACACCCTTAAGAAAAATCACCTATAGTTAAAATTATATTAAAAATGCTTATCTTCTAAAAGGAAAGATTTTTACACAAAGAATTGTGGATTCCATATTAATCCCCTGTGTACCATATAAAAATCAACTTATTCCCTGTTTATGACCAGGCACCACTAAATTTGGCTAAATCTGGTGCAGATTTCTGATCCAGGCTTTAGAAATAAAGTTGCAATCCTAAGATACTTTCTTCTCTTCCCACTCTCCTTTCTGTCTGGAGCTGTGGGGATTTGTGGGATCTTTCAGTGATTTTTTAAAAATCTTACCTTGGCTCTCCAGTTGTGGAAGGAAAAAATACTTTGCCACCAGAGAGGTTTTTGGCAAGAGTTTGTCTAATATTTGCCTGTTTCTGTCCGATCTGGTCAAAGTTAAATTGATTATCGTTGTTTTAATGCGGAGCAGAGCTAGATAAAATTAATGTAAATAAAAATGAGTGCAAACAGCCAGTTTTAAAGCCTTTCCTGAAAGCTCCCATTTGCTTCCTCTTTGACTTAACGTGGTTTTTTTTTTATTTCTAAGGGAGTTGAGCCAGAGTGGGGCAATGGGTTGTGCATCTCCATCTGCTGCTGGGACACCAGTGTTTGGAGAACTACTTAATCCACGCTGGAAATTGAAAGGTAAATGTTAAATATTTAACAAGCTAAACTCATAATATTAGCTAAGAAGGGTCATCCTATTTGTGGCTATAAACTAATTTGTTTACAAGGCAGAATGCATCAACTTCCACCCATGTTGGCCTTAAGCAGTTGCTAAACTCCTGCTAATGGATGTACTTTAGTCCTGATATTTCTCGGAGCCCTGTGTTAGCATTTGGCAAACATTTATTGCAAAAAAGGTGTTTACTCTGGAGATTGGTTTGGGATGTTTCCCTTTCCCTTCCTCATCACCACGAGCATAAACCCAGGGGCTTTGAATATTAACTCCATGGGGGTTTTCATTTGTTTTTCCTGATTTTTTCTTGCCTTTTGTGGTATAAAAAGGAAATAAAATAGAGTGGAAGAAAAGTGAATAAAAGAATCATTTTCAAGCATAAACTGAAGCGGAGGGTGACAAACCTTAGAACACCGAGTGCACCCATGGAGTTACCTTGTTACACCTAACCCACACTGAAAATTTTTGTTTAAAAAGAGTGGGTTTATTTATGATAAAGGCTCTATGTAAGATTGATGGTGCAAATTGGTCCTAAAATCTCCTAAACTGGAGAATAATGTGAGTATAAAGCAGAGCTGAGGGCTCCTGGCCTTGTTGATGGTGGCCGGGTTGTGGTGTGAGGGGACTGGCTCCCAACAGAGGGGAAAACCCTAAAAATGGCCTCTTTTTCCCTCACTCCAGCCTGGATTTGCTCCTCGGGCTTCAATATTTGATTAAACGGGTTATTTGTGCTTATTTTTGGCCTTTTATCTGTGGTTTTGGGTCAGATTTGGGCAGGCTATGACCTTTAGGCCAAAGGATGGGCCAGGCTGTGTCCTCCGCCATGACCCCTCTCCCCCAAAGCTACCAAACTTCATGGCTAAAGAGCTGAAATGGGGGATCTGCACCCCAAAACCTACATAAAATTAACAGAGGATGTCTCACAGGTGATGGTACTCACATAAAACACTTTATCAGCCGTTTTTCACCTCAGGGAAACCCCCTCTCCACAGAGCCCGGCGCCCACAGCGAGCTGAGGGAGCAGCAGGGGGTGTGGGGGGTCACCGAACCTCGTGTCCCTGAGGGGGAAAGAAACCCCAAACCGCCGTTTTTAAATTACAATTATTTAAATTCAGCTCTTCAAAACCTTAGTTCAGCCAGATGTGGCTACCTATTGGGGTTAAAAGGGGTTGTGGTCCCAGGAGCAGAGGCGGGTGTGTACAGGCAGCACAGCTGTGTTTGGGAGCCTCAGCCGGGAGCAGAAATGTTGGCAAATATTAAAAACCAACACAGTAAGTTTCGATTTGGTAGCTTTCAGACGTTTTGGAGGGAGGAAATGACCACAGCCAACAACAGCGTGCTCCTTCAGCGGTGTTTCCTTCGTGTTATTGGCGACTCCGGCCCTTTTTTTAAGTGAATTTATGCGAATTTTGGCTAATAACGATTTTTCCCGCCTTTTCGCCCGCGGCCCCTTTGGGCGCGAGGGGGAGGGGGGCGGGGTGCGAGCGGCTCGAGAGCGGCTTTTCCCGCCCGCGCTGTCCCCGCCCATCTCATGAATATTTAAATTAATCATGCCCCCCTCACCATAACAGGAAGGCTGTCCCGCCCGTGTGGCCACGCCCTACATGAATAATCAATGAGGGATCTGTTGCGATTTGGCGGGAGGGTCCGGCGGGGCTAGGGGACATCGGGGGTCCCAAGGGCGTGGGACGTGGGGTGGGGAGGCTCAGGTGTGTGGGGTGCCACAGGTGTGGGGTAGCTCGGATGTGGGGTACGGCAGGGATGGGGTGCCACAGGTGTGGGTGCTGCCAGAATGGAGTTCCACAGGTGTGGGGTTCCACAGGTGTGTGGGGCGTCACTGGGTTTTGGGGTGTCACTGGGTTGTGGGGTGTCACTGGGTTTTGGGGTGTCACTTGTGTGTGGGGTGTCACTGGGTTTTGGGGTGTCACTGGGTTTTGGGGTGTGATCCCACAGGAGCGTCACTCTAGGATGGGAGCACCAGGCACCTGCAGGGCTCTGGGTTTCTCTGTAGGGCCCCAACCTGTGGACCTAAAACCCCACATCCTGCACCGTGGTTCTGCCTCAGCCCAGAGCCACCAAACCCATCTCCATCCCTCATCTTCAGTCTTCATCACCAACCTTCACCTGCAACCCTCATCTCCACCCCTCATCTCCATCCTTCATCTTCAACCTTCATCACCAACCCTCATCTCCACCCCTCATCTCCATCCTTCATCTTCATCCTTCATCTCCAGCCTTCATCTCCAGCCTTCATCCCCATCCTTCATCTCCACCCTTCATCTCCATCCTTCATCTTCAACCTTCATCTCCATCATTCATCTTCAACCTTCATCTCCAGCCTTCATCTTCAACCTTCATCTCCAGCCTTCATCTCCATCCCTCATCACCATCCCTCATCTGCAACCCTCATCTCCAACCTTCATCCCCACCCCTCATCCATCCTTCATCTCCATCCCTCATCTCCATCCCTCATCTCCACCCCTCATCTCCAACCTTCATCTCCAATTTTCATCCTTCCCAGAGCAGCTGTGGCTGCCCCTGGATCCCTGGCAGTGCCCGAGCCCAGCTTGGACGGGGTTTGGAGCACCCTGTGATGGTGGAAGAGGTGGAATGGGAGGACCTTTAAGGACCTTTCCACCCCAAACCATTCCAGGCTTGTGGAATTGTCCCCTCTCAGCTGTTAGAAGGAATCCTGATCACCATCTCAGGAAAACCACGTTGAGGTTCCTCTGCCAGATCCCCCCATTCCTGCTCAGACTTCCCTTAAAACAACTCTAAAATGCCTTTTTTTATCAATTCTGC